CAAAAAGTCGGGGCGCTCTCTGTTGCGGCCTGGCCCAATGCTCTGCTGGCGTCTCCTGCACCAATCTGGCAGCTACTGATGTGAGCCATCTTCGCTCCGGAGCCATCCGTGTTGTTGTTCTGAGTCTGGTGGAGTATCCCTTGGCTGACCGGCGCGTTTTTGTGCTTGACCTTACCTTTCGGGACATGCGCGCCTTTGGCCACCATGAAAGGGTGGTTCCAACCATCGAGGGACTCTTGGAGTCCTCTGGTCGCTGTCGGCCTGGCCCGGTTCAAGCTTTCCTCGAAAAGTGTTTCTCAGTGGGGCTCACTTGGAGCTTTGCCCAGCAATGCTTGAACAAGCTCCATGCCTTGCATGCCCATGCTGGTGTGGCGACTGTTGGCGGAGCTCCCTGACTTGACCACGTCCTTTGCCTTGCCTGCCCAGCTTGAAGCTCCGCTGCATCTTTTTGCCGATGGCTCCTGTCTCCCCCCCCGCCTGCCCGCAGCTGCGCTTGGCCCAGTTCGGTGGTTGCCTCGGGCCCGGTCTGCCTTTCGTGGGGAGATCACGTCGGTGCTCTCGGCTCTGGGTTTTGTGGTGCAAACTGGTTTGCCGGCTTGCATCTGGAGTGATTGCGCTGCAGTGGTGCGGGTGGTAAACAGAATGATCACGGGTGATGTCAGGTGGAGACCCTGTATGCTTGGTGCTGACCTGTGGCAGCGAGTCTTTGAGCCGGTTCCTAGACCAGGTACGCGGATCTGCAAGGTTGCTGCCCATGTGCACCCGGATCAAGCCCGGGATGTTGCGGAGGAGCGGGCGGCCCTTGGCAACGATGCTGCTGACAAGGCCGCCAGTGCTGCCCATCTTGTCCGGGATGCCTTTTTCTGGGAAGTGTGGGATGATGTTGGCAGGACTTTGTGCTACAGGAGCTTCGCGGCTCAACGGAGCCCGCCACTGGGGTTGTTCCAGGCCTGGGTGGACCTGCGCGGTGCCGGGTTGGCGTGGGGTGACCTCCAGCTTGCGGCCGTTTCGCTAGGTCAGCGGTGATGTTATTTCAGACAGCAGGTCAAGGCCGTGATCAAACCAGACGGTGGCTTTGGGGATAAAACCCGGCTTTGTGCCGCTTCGGGCTGACGCGAGTGACAGGGTTGAGGCATGGCTCAGGTGAGTGGGCAACACTGCCCTTTCCCCACGGGTGCTAAATGCCCCATATGACAGGCCGCCTTCCGCAGTGGCAGAGGGCAGACTGCAATCCGAAAGGTGCCGCAAGGGTTTATTTAGGGTTTAGGGCTGCTACGGCGGCTGCTGCTGCTGGTGCGGTTTGAAGTTTAGGGGTTCCAGGCAGTTCACAATGGAAGTCTGAGGTTTGGATTTGAGGCTTAGGGGTTGCAAGGGTTTAGGACTACGGGTGTTGGGTTTGCGGGTTCCTAGATTGGTCTCACTTGCCTCCAAAGATGTACAAACGTCCATGAGTCGTGTCCAAAACCATGGAGTGCGTGGAACGGATCGTCGGACTAGTGCCTGAACCATCGTTGAACTGGGTCCAAGTGTTGGCCACAAGATCGTAGTACCACGTGTCGCCATAGGTCGATCCACTGATGCCTCCATACATGTACATGCGATTGTTGGCAAGGTCCATGGCACTCGCAGCGCCAGTTCGCGCAGGCAGAGCCGTGATAGAGCCATCGTTTCCCTCAACCCATTGGCTGTCAGACATCACTGGCAGGGAACCAAGGATTGCCGCTTTCAACGCCCTGCACCGACGGCGACGAGCCATGCTCACGGAGCTGGAAGCCTAAACTCTTCAGATTCTTGGACTCAGGTTCCACTTGTGCCAAGTAGGGACGGCAGGACTGGCAGCAGCCCAGCAAAGCAACCCTTCACGAGGACTTACTGGTGCTTAAGGGGGAGTGGGGAAGTGAATCCCCATAGTAGCCCCCTAAAATGATATCTGTATCCACTAGTAGGAGGAATTTCCTTGCCCCTGGCTCTAAAACCTTAAACATGAATCCTACATCCTTTTTGCATGGGAACAAAAAATCAACCCTCAAGACCCTAATAATCGAAACAGAAACAAGAAAAGGTAAACCCTTAAGCCTTTACGTTCAGACTTCTTTTCGACAGCTTCGGAGCCATTGCGGGGAGGTACCTGGCCGAGACGGACTCTGGAACTAAATTGAGCTGCTTGACTGGACAAACTTGCCCGGACCCCACGCACCACCAAACAGTATCAGCCGAACCACAACGCGCGACCGATGAGGTTTGGGTCCAAGGCCGCGGCGCGATGGTTCTTGGACATTTGCGGATTCCGTCCAAGCACATCTCTCACACTTCAACGCTCAGGTCAACGAATAAACACTGTCTGCGAAGCCTGAATAGCCTGAATCACCAGCAAGCACCGGGAAACCCGCAAAAGCCCTAGATCCATCGTCCCAGCAATCCCTAATTACATCCTCAACCTTTGACCCTGGAGCCCACAAGACGAGTGTAAACGCCATACCCTCACACCCATATCACCCTAGACTCCTCCAATTCTCTGAAAGGGAGAGGACACCGAGACTCGCTTAGGCTTCGGCGAGGGCTAGGGCTGGGGCCTCGGGTTAGAGCTTCGGGCATTATGGGCTTTTTAGGTTTGGGGTTTTGTCGCTTCTTGGCAACCGGGTAGGATTCAGGAATACTCTTACTGGGTTCGCGGTTTGGGGCTTCAGGTGCCTAGCAGAAGTTGCTCCAAAACGGCCTCAAGCCCCGGTACGAACCGAGACTTGCGACTGTTTTCTGTGATGGGATGGAAGAGCGCACACCTGAATCTCGATGCGACTTTGAGTGATGACGTGTTGTTCCGAGTTGAAACCGTGTGAAAGCCCCTTACCCACAACTTCGGGCCTCCGCACCGTATGTGGCGGTGGGCATGGACACGAGATCTGGCTTCAGTCTATAGGGGAAGTCAAGCTTCTGCTGGGTGGCTGATTAGGGGGAGAATTGGTCAGGCTGCTCCAAATTTAGGGTGACTGCAACCGTTGCTTGCCACACATGATCATCCCTTTCAGTCCTCTATGAAGCCCTTACTAAGCGTGCTCTCTGCCCGATTAACTTAGACCCCATCAAGCCTTCGAAACAATTCATGCCAAGCATTGATTCTCCGACTTGCCCCTGGATCCGAATCGAAAAGCCCTTGAAAACCTCATAGCCCTAAAACGGTACAACCCTAAGCCCCCTATGGCGTGGATTGCCAGTCTAGTCTAAGCTGTCATCAGCCGCCTCATCAAACAAAAGCTGTACAGCCTTTATGCTAGAGGGGACAGCAAGCTTTCCACAAGGGTATTTTCCGGAAATTAATACACCAGCCCTGGCAAAAGCTCCACAGACCCGCAAACCCCAAGCTCTAGACCCTAAACCCCAGCTTTCAGGATAAACCCCCTGAAACTACTCTTCCTTGCAGGCTAGTGCGCTCGTGTACCCTAAGCCCGAAAGCCTGAACCCATTTTCGATTCAGGGGGGCTCTTCAACCCGAAGCCCTCTGGGATGGCCTGAAAGCGAAATTCTGAGGCTTCGAGTTTTCAGATTTGACCATACTGGGCCATAGCTTCGAGGATGAGTCTATGTTTAGGGTTTAGGATTTCGGTTTTAGGGTTTAGGGTCTAACAGGAGTTCAACCCTCTGAAACCCCCGAATCCGTAGACTTTAAATGCAAACTCATAGTGCAATCGGCGAGATGAAAAAATCAGTCCAGATTACTCCTTTGGAAGCGCGTCGCGGGCTGCTCACCGGTACATCGGAAAATCACATGCCATGATGCACCGGATTTGATTTAGCATGTGAAAACCAATTACACCGATATTTCGCTCAAACGTTAAGTAGAAACAACTGATGGCAAAACCCTGTTCATTCTTCATCGGGAATAAAACTCAGATCTCTTGCCAACATGAGGTCAAAGACTGTGAACTTGGCTTTGACACACCAGCGTCTATACAGCAAACTGAGAAAGAACTTCTCAGGACACCGCGGGGCTTTTCCCCGTAGCCCCAGGTTTTGCTGGCTTCATGCTTTGGGATCCTACGGAGCATAAAAGACACATTAGGTTATATACGTGGTCAGCTCCGAGAAATACACACCTGATGGTCCAGAACCATAGAACACGTCGTCAAGTCAACGAGCCGAAACCCGAAACCCTAAACAAGCCGATTCAGAACAGCCTCCTCGCGGTACCTGCTAGGGATGACGGATGCAGGCCTGTAGATCAACGAATATTCTGGGTTCCACTTAAACGGGTTTGGGGTTTAGGGTACGTGATGCAGGCTGTTGTGTCATGACTATTGGAATGAGGCTTTATACTTTCCCCAAGCTATGGACAAGGAAAGCTCATTGTAACCGCAGATCGCACCATCGTCACTGACCTTTGGACGACGGCTGCTATGGTCTCAGTTTGGGCAAACACACTACTGCAGGGGCTCCTAAACTGCAAGCCAGCAGCTGTTGAGGCGCAAACTTCTGGTCTTCCCAGACAGCTGCACCAAGAGCAAAAAAGCTCAAAACAAGATTTGGTAGTTTCCGAAAATAAATTGACCATTGCTTGATGCAGAGTTGGGAGAATACAACATGATGGTTCTTGTTCCTTACTGGGTTCAAGTTCCCATAAGTTTCGGACACTCCCATATTGGCACTTTCGTGGTCTGTTGTCAGACCAGCCGGGAACCTTTAGGGTTTAGGGGTTTGGGATTTAGGGTTTAGGGTCATGCGACATCCCCATGATTTGTGGGTGGCCAGCAGTGAACCCTCGGAGGAATCTCTACTAACTGGTCAGCTGGGCAGATCCAAGATGAACCCCCCAAAACACTTGTTTTTTACCAAGGTCTGTCCTGTGCGAGACCCCTTAAACCCTAAACCATGTAATTGTATGCACTCACTGGGCAGATTGGAGCCTAAAGTTGTGGCTTTCTCAAGTCAGCTATGCCACACAACCCTACCGCTGAAAAACATTAGTGGTGTAGGGCTTAGGGCTTAGTTTATATCAGGTTTAGGGTTTAGGGTCCGTTCTTGGGCACCTGCAGTTGCGAGGGCTGGACAGAGTTCCGCGTCAGCCGGGCAAGACGTGAGCACACGGCACGTATGACCATCGGCACAAAGAACAGAACCACGGCAGGAATGCAGAAGGCGACCAAGACCCTGGACTGTTTGAGACTCGTTTTCAAGCAATGATTCCTGACGACCAACATCATTGCCAGATGATAATGAAGCAAAAAAAGTTAACCCTAAACCCTAAACCGGGCTGCTAGCCCTTCTGAGCTGACAAAAGGCAGAAATGCTCGTATCGTCATATCCTTGGGGAGCTCATCAACCCACGCGACCTTCATCCTGTGCGGATTCTTGGGATTCAAGATAGCTGCAATGAAGATCGCCGCCGCCCAAATGAGATTCAACACCAGGACAATAACGAGGTTCCTTAGGGTTCAGGGAAGTTTATGGTTTGGGGTTGTAAAATGTTGACGGAGAGTCCTCTGCCACAAGTTAGGCCTGAAGCCTCGTTAAGTCAAAAAGAAAGAAATCCATACAATGTCTAGGCAGGACAAATCACTATCCCGACGATAGGAAGCCAAAGCGGGACCCTGAATTGTCGGAAACACCACATTTTAGTGAAAGTCCGAAGACTAAAAGCCAGGCTGTAGACAGCCAAGGTGCAGCAGCATGTCGCACAGTCGACATGGCAGTGGCCTGAGACCAGCATCGAAACGAAACGAGGCAGTCAAGCCTTCTTTTCCATAGTCTGAAGTTTCAGTTCTCGAAAAGATGCAGCTTTTCCCTGCTTCCAAATCAACGGACGTCCCCTAAGTAAGGTCTTTTGCATAGTTTCATCTTTCAGCCTGCCCCATATGGACATGACGTGTAGGGATGGGGGACAACCCATGAGAGGCAAGAAACCACGCAGGCATCAATAGCGGAACTTGCTCTCTTGGAGCCACCGCATTCCCACTTGATTGGGAGATTTTGGAAGTTGCCGAGTGGGGTCCCCCGGTTTTAATCCCATCATGCAATCATCTCTTTTTGCAAGTAAGGGCGCTACAAAAAGAAATTGTTCTGTTTGACATCTTTTCCAGGGGTCGTTAGAGTACGGAGTGTCGCATTTCGAAAGGTTTCATTCTAGAGGATTCTAAGGGTTAAGGAGCTCGAGGCACAAGGTGGGATTCCCGTGCCTGCAGAAGCATAGGAACCCTAGGATTTGTGGGTTACAGGCTCCGGCAAGCAAAAAACAAGTAGGGATAGAACTGCTCATGCATTTACTTAAATGCTTAGACTCCAAATAGCCACCACTTACAAGCTTAGGGCTCTGCGGGGCCTGGCCTGCAGAAGAAGCTTGAGAGGTAAAGGCCAACTTTCGCCACCGATGGCATGATACCGAGCCAAAAGCCGGTGAGTTGAAACATCCACCAATGCCCCCACCGGTGGCCCAGACTCAAATCCATGCCTGTCCAGATGACTGGGCAAAACACCACCAGAAAGTAGACATAAGGGAATGTATGTTGCCCGAGTTCATTCTCAAAGGTGCGGCGAAGCAGGGGCACGATGAAGACCTCAAACTCTTCAATGCTGCCAAACCAATTACAAATACACTGCTCCACGACCTTACGGTCACAAGACATCGAGCTGCCGTCAGGAGCAACATGCCCCACGGTGCAACAGTTGCATTTTGTCTCGGCCAGTCGAAAATTCTGCAGCTGCTTGCGCAAGATCTCGATCGAATAGTGGTATGATCGGAAAGAGGCAATTCCAAGGTAAAATGTAGGAACGAAGGCAGCCACCATGACATACATGCTGACATTGTGGTACTTTATATGCATCATTTCAAGCCATAGCAACGCCGTGGCCGGGGTCGCGGCATAGATAGCCAAGGCCGCCTGCAAGGAATTCTAAATTTCCTCTGAGATGAATTCACATTGCCTCCAAATGGAGGATGCAATTGGTCCACCTTGTAACCTTGAATAATACCCAGCTGCATCCCCATGTATTGCTGAACCCAGAAGAATACCCCACAATCCCGACAGAAATTCTCACCTTTATGTAAATAAAATCTACTATGACGAGCATGATTTGAAAACAAGGCTTGCACCGGACCATGCTTGAAGGAGGAGCAAAGTGGACGAGAAACCGTGGAGCCCATTCGGACGTGCATCGCCTGGTGCAAGCTCTTGAAAACAGAAGGAAACTCAGGCAAGATAAGCAAAGATACGAAGAGAAGAGCAGCAAGTACAAGAGACGACCAGCAAAGCCAGCAGTCGGTCAAAATTACTTTCAGCCGCAGAATTCAGCCAAAAAACATTTCGAGGCACAGCACCGGAGCAGAAGTTCACTTGTTCCAAGAGTCAGTCAACTTAATGAAAGGAAGCTGTACAGACTACAGGAGCCAACAAGAAGGCAGGAGAACATCCCGGCCACAGCAGGCAGGCAAAACCTCCAACCAAGCTTAATCCTACCGCACACAAACCTAGCAGGACACT